GGGGGGCCACCGGCGGTCCAGCAGCCACGAGGCAATCTCCCGCGGGCGGGGCTGGCGAGGCCTGGACACCCCGGGGGGCCAGCGCGGCGACTCTGGACACGAGCCGTGGCCCTTCCCATAGATCACCCCCGCCCGCACCCGGCTCCTCTCCCTCCCCCCTCCCACCGTGTTATAGCTCCCTTTGTTTCCCAGTGCGCACAAGCCCGTCCGCCACCGCCGTTCTGCTGAGGTTTAAATGAGACCAGACAATAAGAGATTCACATAAAACTGCTTTAGATTTTAAACAGCTTTTTTTTCTTTTCGCTCTCACATCGCGTTCCAATTCTGTGGGCCCCACAGTTTCGGCCTCTCGTCCAGCCTGTTCCCTGTTGTGCCAGCTCATTCCAACCGGTCATTTCTGCCGTCGTCGCCACAGCGCTGCCGGGCCCCCGCCCCGCGCCCCTGCCTGCGCAGCCGCCCCAGCCCAGGCACCCCGCGCCCGCCACCGTGTCCCTACTCTGTGCCCCCCCCCCGACCGCCGTCGCTGCCCGGGGAAACGGCGCTTTCAGAGCGCACCAGGGCCGGCGCGGCCAGTGAGCCTTCAGAGCAGAGCCCACTTGACTTCATGCTGTGCGTCTCCCTTTGCCACAGCATCGGCCTCGCCCTGCCCCATGCGCGGGGCCCCACGCACAGCAGGCTGTGCCCCTGACCACGCCGCCACTGCCTCTGCCGCTGCCTCGGCCGCTGCCCCGCCCCTCCAGGGCACCGAAAGCGAGCTGCAGCTGCCATCCATCTGACGCCAGGCATCACTTTTGGCCACTACTACGGGCCTCCAAGCCCCACCCCCTTACGCGGTCGCAGCAAAACTACATCATTTCCCTGCGCCGCTTAGCGCGTCATAGTAAGCCTCTAGTTAAAAACTCAGCTGCTCCACTTACTGTGCCAGCGTTTGCCCTGCCCACTCTACATGTTCCTTGCCAGCCTGCCCCTCCGCGGCACCACTGCTGCCCCATGGCACCGGTCACGCGCCGGGCGCGTGCCATGGCCGCCATAGTTCCATGGCGCCAGGCGCCACCTCTGATCACCACTCCAGGCCTCCAAGCCCCACCCCCTTACGCTTTCGCAGCTCCCTGCGCCCTCTTAGCGTGTCACGGATGGCATCTGGGTGGGACCTCAGCCTGCCTGCCCTGCCTACTGTGTCCCACATTCGCCCCGCCCACTCTACATGTTCCATCCTGCCCCAGACACAACTCTGCTCTCTTCCTACAGGTGCTATCTATCTCAGTGTTTCAAGCTGCCTTTAACACTGAGCGTTTCCAAAGTCTCGAGGCCCTGCCCAAACTTTTTTTGCAATTCAGTTCCACTCGAGAGAGGCTATTTTTTTTCTTACAATTTTTCTACCATTTATTCACTATTACTGGCCACCTGATAATTTTACCAACCTGCCTGCCTTATAATCTTAAATGCCAATATTAAGCTCCTACATACTTACTTAATTCTACAGATAACTTTTACTATAGTCCAGATCTCAAACAACAAGGCAATACTTGACCTTCAAGCTCCACAGAGACCTTGCTATGGTTGTTCATATTTTAAATAACACCTACAATGCTGAGACAGACAAATCTACACAAGGTTAAGCTACCTGCCCCCCTCCACCATGGGCCTCACTCAAATTCATCAGAAGACATCAAACAAAATCCCCCATCCTGGCATTCTTTGAGACCTTACTCCAGGGCTGTTTAGGCTATCCTGGCCACCAGAGAGTGGCCTGGCCATCCTACATGGTAGCCCTCATAGGTCACTGCCAAAAGACCTTATTCCACGGCTGTTGGGTTATCCTGGCCACCAGAGAGTGGCCTGGCACCCTAGCTTGTCACCCTCAAAGGTCACAGAGGCCAAGCGCCTTGGTAGATGTCTGTCTCAGAATCCAAATCACATTAAAACTCTCAAGGTAATACATTCTCTATATTCGTGGACATAAGAGACCACATATACAGAGTTCTTACTGAGTTGTTAGGCTAATAAATCCTCAATGTCTCATGGAGTATTGAAGGTCAACCTATGCCAGTTACAAACAGGGCCCATTTTTATACAGGTCCCAGTCCTAAATCCTAAAATGCTTTTATTCCCTTTTAAACTGCCATCCTGGTTTCATATCACTCAGGCCCTAGATCTAACCATCCTTTTGATACTCATCTCTGCCTTATGACTCACAGGTTGTCATGTTTTGTTGTCCAGTTTGATTCTTAATTTCTTACATTTTATTAATGATCATTTCTATAGCAGGGCTCTCTAACACGATTGCCTACAGACTCCAACGTCATATATACCAGAGACAAGCCTTACCTACCTACCTTTTAACTTTTATGCTTTCATATGGGGGAGTAAACACCTCTCATAACTTCACTCCTCCTAATCCCACGTTTAATTTTTCAGAATTCTGCCTTGCCACCTCAACGTCATCCTGATAAAATAACAGGTCTAAATCAAAGACACCTTTCCTTTACCTCACTTGGGTCCATAAATATGACAGTGCCATGTCTCCTCATAACATTGTGTCTCTTTGTTTTTTCCAGTCTAACATACATGTATTCACCAGTGAAGTTGTCCTGGATAAAACACCTAACATCAGCATCTACCTGGGCATCAACCTTCATCCCGTCAACTCCCCTAGACCCCAATACAGTGACCTCAGCCAGCAGGAAGTAGTTACAGAGAGGAATCTTCGCCCATTTTCCTAATAATCATCAGACGGGATATGAAAGAGTTGCTGGCCCAGACCAGACACTTTAACCAGGAAAAGCCTCAGCCAAGTTAGGGGGCTCCTGCCTCCCCCGCCCCTATAGATTTGCCTGTAACCCTATACCCCCATCCCTGTAAGCCTGGCGCCAAACGTGTGCCAATGAACTACCTGTGCATCCCTAATGCCCCTTGGGGTCCACCCCAGACAGAGGTTACTTATGGGCCTCACTCCACGTGTTAAAGAAGAAGAAGGAGAAGGAGAATAGGAGAGTGTGTTCCAGAGAGAGACCATCGGCCCCAGGGTGGAGATGCTGCGCCCCGGGGGCAGGGGGGTCTCTCCCCGCAAACCCGAAATAAAGGTTACTTATATTTTATATTTCTTATGTTTGCAGCCACCGCCACCCACTACTTTCACGGCCGTCCACTCCACTCCTTCCACGGACCTCTTTCCCTTCCCCCCTCTTCTCAGACCTAACAAAGACAATGACAAGGAATATTAATGAGCACTTTAGTAAAGAACTTCAGATTCAGCCTGGCAGGTGGCACATGTATGTAATCCCAGCACTGGGGGAACTGAGACATGAAATTGCCATGTGTTCAAGGCAAGCCTGGGCTACATAAATGAATTCAAGTCCAAAACTAACAAATAGACAAAATAAGAGCTACAGACTCTAGCCAAGTGAGGTGGTTCAACCCTCTAATACAACTTCCAGGAGGCTGAGGAAGGCAGATGCAAGTTCAAACCCAGCTGTGGCAGCACAATGACTGACAAAGACACAATTTAAAAAATAATAATAATTTAAAAACTAATGTATAGGGCTGGAGATGAAGTCAGTGTGAAGGCCGTGACTTTCATATCAGGGCTAAAAAAAAAATAATGGTTATGGGAAGGAATCAAACAGAATTCCTGGGAATTCAAAACATATTGGAAAGCCACACCTGTAAATAATACAAATCATGGAGAATGTATCAGGATCTGATGACAAGAATAGTGTCAATAATGCTTTGGTAACCGCCAATAGTTGTCCTTGGAAAGCACAGGCATCAAAAACAAACTGTTTTGCTGAAATGGGGTAGAAAATTACAGAGAGTCAACACCAATAAATTCTAATTTACTTGTCAAGAACTAAACAAATAATGAACAAGAGAATGAACTTTTGCATCAAAATGTATCAAGTAGAAAATGCAGTAAGTTTAAAATCACTTGCATACCAATGATGACTTTAGTAGATCACTTCCTCAGTGATGCTCTAAAAATAAAAATCCATGAAAGATGGATATACACGCTAGGTGAATCTAAAATATCAGATCAATGAATTACTGTGTCAAGGAACTGTTGGAAAAGGAAACTAAAGTTATAAAATTCTATTAGCTAATATTGTTGCAGACAATATTCCAAATCAAAAACCTTATTGAACACTCAAGTAAATGAGGTATTTAGGACCCAAATAAATATGGTCAGAAAGGAACGCCATGAAACTTCATAGTCAAAATTCTAGAAAGTCATAATAAAGACAGAATGAAAGCCATTAAAGGCTGACATCACCAAGCTCCCCAGAAGTGCCTCCTCAAAGAGTGGAGGACACGGAGGCGGAGGCAGCAGAGGCAGAGGCCCCTGGTGTTTGTACCATGTATCATGGCTGACAGAAGACATGACATGTGGTCTGATGGACAACATGACAACCAAAGTCTTCCCAGATAATGAGGGCCACCTCAGAGTCTACCCAGTGTTTGGCTACTGTACCATAGTTAATATCGTGCTATGGCAACCACCACCGCTGGGAAGCAAAGGACCACTACTAAAGACACCACCGCTGCTTGGTACAAAACCACCATCACTTGGTACAAAACCATCTCTGCTAGGCAGACGTGGTGAATGAAGCTACAATAGATATTACAGTTTTCCTGGTTACCAAGACTATCAGAAGTCTAGCAGCTTTTCTAATGATACAAGAAGTACTCCACCTAGGAGAAGAGTTGAATCTGGATGTCAGTGGTACAGATATGATCATTCTGCAAGTCACCAAATTGCTTATAGAGACATGAGAGATGGCTTTAGAAGAAACCATTCCTACTCTTCCCATTGTATGAGGGATCAATTTCCGCATGTAAGGAATCCTACTTTATTCTGAGAGTCGCCAGTAGGCCAAAAATTTTCTCTACACAACACAATCGTGTCCTGTGCAGATAACAGAAGTTACTCTCCTGCCCAAAGCAAAATGTTATCTTTCTATCAGTCTAAACCTAGAAGTGAACAGCAGAATGGAGTTTTCGGGATGGTGCAGAAAAATCTGATTGAAAATGGTCCTTTCCTAGACAAGTCTATACACTTTGCTCTGAGCAAGAATTCACCTAAAATAGGTGTGCAGTGTGTTGAAGAACAAGTCAAACATTCCATTTCAGAATATCATGCATCTATTCAAGATTCTGAAAGACATACATGTGGTCTGAGAGACAATATGACTGTGAAAGACTTTCCAGAGATTGACTGCCACCTCAGACAGAGTCTTCCCAGTGATGGTGGCCGTACCGTAGTTAACATTGTGCCATGGCAACCACCACCACTGGGAAGCAAAGGACCACTACTAAAGACACCACCGCTGCTTGGTATGAAACCACCATTACTTGGTACAAAATCATCTCTGCTAGGCAGACCTGGTGAAGGAAGCTACAATAGATATTACAGCTTTGCCGGTTACCAAGAATATGACAAGGGCCGAACATCTGCTTGTGTTCAAAGAAGTGCTCCACCTCAGAAAGCAGATGAAGCTGGCAATCAATGGTCAAGATATAATCCTTCTGCAAGACACCAGAGTTACTACGAGGACAAGAGAGATAGCTGTAGAAGACAAAGTTTCTACTCTTCCAATTATTCAAAATACCAGTCTCCTCATACAAAGGATCCTACATTTTTTGGAGAGTCACTCTTAGGCGAAAAAGCTTCATCTGTCAGTAGCAGGAGGTGCACTGAAGTCCAAGGAGAAATTTACTCTTTTCAAAAGCCTCAGCAAAGAAGTGAAAAAAGAAAGGTCCTGTATTTGAAAACATCAAGGTATACTGTTCTCCCAGATTCTGAACCACCTACTTCATCAAAGGTGTTAGACAAACCCAGCAGGCTAACTGAAAAGGAACTTGATGAAGCTGTAAGGGCATGGGCTGCCAAAACGTCTGTGGCATCAGAGGAACGCAAGTTGTCTGGCATCTCTGAATTCGAGGTGGTGCCTACAAGACCATTATTCAGTAAGTATCGAGTGGCACCAGCCACAGACGCAGAAGACAGCACATGTGAAGATAATCAACGCAGCAGTCACTTTAAATCAATAGAATCTAAAGTCAAAGACATTGAAGAAGTTTACCAACAATACAGTGAAACTTTTGGGATGATGGTGAAAAAGTTGATTCAAAAGAATCCTTCATTAGAAAGGCCTATACAGTTTGCACCGAGTCAAAATTTACAAGAAATAGGTGACCAGCTTCTTAAAGAACTCAAAGATTACATTGCAGAGTATCATGCTTCTCAACATACTGGAGAGTCTTCTTAAGGGATATAGTGGTCAGGCAGAAAAAAGTATTTCATTATTTTATTCCTGCAATCTTAAAATCCTTTATGTATGGACTGTTTGCAATGAAAAGAAATATTTATGAGTTTTCCATATCAAATAAAGATCTAATGCAGTCTGTTTAAACTGTTTGACTTAGAATTTTTTCCACACGTTATACACACACACACACACACACACACACACACACACACACACGTGCGCACACACACACACACACATATATATATATATATATATATATATATATATATATATATATACACACATCTTCCACCCCCATAATGATAGTCAGTTATTTGTTTACACTTTGAAGAAGCCATCCTGGAGGGCAGTTTTCTATATTTACTCATGTTGCATAGTCTCCCAAGTGTGTGATTCATTTGAACACATGAATGTAATTTCTAGGTTAGAGATAATTCCACCTGAACATTGGTAGTCTTTTTACATTTCATAGTGAGTGATGCCATGTGGTAATATTGGAATTCTGATTTGTGATTTTTATTAACTTATTGCTTGCTTGTCTTAAGATTCATGAATTTTGATATGCTAAACATTTATCACAATAAAGTGGATACTTTAGTATCTTAGAAGATATTTCTTTGGAGAACAATTCTCATTCAAGTGTTAACACAGAACTTAAAACCCTTAAATATATCAGAATAAAACCTTTTACTTAGTAAATGAAGTCAGCATGTCCCTTCTGTTAAAATAATGCTCAAGTTTTTAACTACCCTGGTTTCTTAGTTTCATGTAAAAAACTAAGAGAAAGAGCAATCTGAGATGGAAAGTGAGGAGCATTTGACAACCCTTTTGAGTAACTGTAGAGAAAACTTTAAATATATAAGAGTAGTAGGATTTTGTTTTTATAAATCCGCATCCTCTACCTCAATGCTTGGAATGAAATTATTTAAAGATTTTGGAGAGTGACCTCTTAATCTTTTGAGTTCTTTGTTATGGTAACTTTGAGAGGTACTGAATCTGTCCTAAGTGCATTTAATAATCACAGATTATTTAAGAATCTTATCTAGGATCATTGGGATAGCTCACTTATTTCTTAGCCTCTTCCAGCAATGCAGTGGCACTGAACAAAAGTGTTCTTGGGAAAAAAAAAAACAATAAAATAGACTGTAATCCCTGCACAGTACACTGTACTAAGAAGTCTGGGTAAGTAGTTCTTCATGACTGAGCCATCAAGTCACAGATTTATTAAGAATTTTAACTAGGATCATTGGGACAGTTCACTGGTTTCCTAGTCTCTTCCAGCAACCCAGTGGCAATGAGCCAAAATATATGATTTTGTGGCATTAGAAGAAATCACATTTTATCATTATTTCTCTACTTTATTCTTTTTGTCTTTCCATTTCCAAACTTTTGATATCACTTTTAGTGTCCTCTGACATTAAGTAAAGAGCTATTTCAAAGCACAATAAGATTATATTAAAAGTGAACATAGCCATATAGTTTTAAAAAGATCTTATACCTCAAAATAATTGTTATGTCATTTCACAAATTTAGAAACTAATTTAAGGCAACATATAATTGTTTTTAAGTTTTTCAAGTGAAATTATCTTGAACATTTATTTTTGCCCATATGATGTTGTACTTATCCTTGATAAAATATAAGTCTAGTGAAATTCCAAGATTACAATAACCTAGAAAATTGGCCCTCAAGCTGATGGTATAATGAAAACTTTTGCAACAAAGAGAATCTAAATAAATTCATGACCATTGTTATGGATTAAAATGTGGTAGTCAACTTAAAGCTAGCTGAATTAAATCACCATTTTTCTGAGCTTAGATGCTCCACCTCAGGATAGTTGTCAGCATAAATAGAGACATGGAGAAGGTGAAGAGAGGCATTGAGGCACTGAGCCATTATGGGTTCGCCTACATTTTGCTGTTTGAACCATTGGTCTTCCTGGGCAAGCTCTGGTCCTTATGTCAAGCATTACTTCTTGGCTCCAGAAGGAAAGACCTACGCTGTTTAATTTCCAGGATGAACTCATGATATTGCCTTTCTGGAAAGTACTGGGTTGTGCTTGTCATTGGTGGAGCTGGGGACCTCCATATCGCTAAGGAAGGCTATGGTGCTTTTCATGATAGCCGTGATCTTTGCTTTTAGTGTGACTTCTCGGCTCTAGTGTAGAAACCTCAACCTACCAGCACAGCTCCCTCACTTCACTGACATAGACATTCTAGCCTTTACCAATGGTCTTTGGGCCTTCCCAGCACAGATCTGTAAAAGAGACTGGCATGACTCTTTCTTGTGGGCTCTAGGCCTCCAGCTAGTCTTGTGGGAGGCACTGTCATGAGCTCTGGGTCTTCATCTAGATTCAAACAGGACACTGCTCTGGAATTCAGGCAGTTGATTAAATATTCTACATCTTTGGTGTTGTGGATATATGTTCTACATATTCTTGTGTTAACTCTGGGTGACCACCATAAAATAATGTTATAAATCCAAGTGCTGATTTTTATTGTTCTCCTTACAACCTCTGACTCCAACAGAAATTACTACCAGGAGAGTAGGGTCATTGCTGTGTTGTTGTCTGATCATGTGACTTACTATCCTTGGAAATTAATTTAGAAAGACTCTTAGAGACTGGCCAAAAAGACAGTCCCTGTACGCTGTGTACTCTTTTGCAGACTCTGGTTGGAACCTGAAAAATCATAGTACTGATAGAAATGCTACCAGTTAAGATGAAATTTGGGATTCTTTTGTTGAGAGGGACTTCAATGACTGACTGCTGGAGTACAAATAATATGTTGTGCTTTGGCTGAAAGTTGGTCTTCATTTTGTTTGTATTTAGAAATGGCTGGAAAATTTAAGTGCATTCTACTGTGGAGATGGTAGCAAGGTTACTTTAGAGAAGTTCTGAGCAGACCTATGTGAGAAATTTAGAGCAAATTGCCAGTAGAGTAATTTAAACATTTGGCCAGAAAGAAGACTCTAGAGGAACTGTGGGTTGTGGAGATGAAAGAGAGGAAAACAAATGTTTAGAAGAAAAAGACAATAGAAAATAAAAGTATATTTAAATTTCAGATCTTTATATTTTATTCTTGCCATGCCACATCAAAAGCTGATGAAAAACAAGGACTCTCATTGTGATTGTTCTTTTAGTTTGATTTCAATATTGTTTTATGTGTTTGTAACCAGGTTAATTAATCAAAGTACTGTGTTTTAATGTTGAACTTTGGTTACCCTTTAAAGTTGTTTTGGTGCAGGAATAAATGTAGAAAAAAACTATATATATATATATATATATATATATATATATATATATATACAATTTTGTATTAATGCAAATCTCAATAAGATAAGATATGGTAACTTTCACAAATCTGCCACTAAAGACAATAGTTTAAAGAAATGTGTAAGGTTATTAAGTTGATAAGGGGTGGATTGTTATGGATTAAAAACTGGTGGTTAACTTAATGCCAGCTGAATTAAATCACCATGGTGCTGAGCATAGATGTTCCACCTGAAGAAAATTGTCAGCATAAATAGAGACATGGAGAAGGAGAAGGGAGGCATTGAGGTGTCGTAGATTTAACTAAGTGTTGCTATTTGAGCCTTTGGTTCTGCTGGGGAAGCTCTGGTCCTTACATTGAGCATTGCTTCCTGGAAGGGAATACGTGTGCTGCTTAATCTCCAGGATGAACTCATCATGTTGGCTTTCTGGCATGAATTGGACTGTGCTTATTGTTGGAGGGCCTGGGAACCTCTGTACCGCTGAGGATGACTATCGTGATTTCAGCACAGCCCTGAACTTTGTTTCAAGACTTCTCGGCTCCAGCATTGAACCCCCAAAATACCAGTACAGCTGCTTCACCTTGTTGACATAGACTTTCTAGCTTTTACTGCTGTCCTTAGGGCCTTCCCTGCACAGATTCTAAATGGGACTGGAATGAGTTATTTTTTAGGCTCTACACCTCCAGTTGGAATTGTGGGAGGCATTGTCATGAGCTCCAGAACTTCATCTAGACTCATATAGGACATTGCTCTGGGATTCAGGCCTTGATTAAATATTGTATGTCTTTGGTGTTCTGGATAGATGTCCTACTCTTTCTTGTGTTAACTCTGGGTGGCCATCATAAAATAATGTTATAAATTTCATGTCCTAATTCTAATTGTCCTCTCACAACACCTGACTACAACAACCACCAAAAACAGCACCATAGATAATACTCATAAAAAAAATCTAAACAGATGCAGCAAGGCACATATCCTCACAGTCCAAAGAACACACCAAACTGGAGGATAGTTAAACAAAATGAAAAGAGAAAGTAAGCAACAATGAAAAATTAACACAGAATCAGGAATGACACAGAATGTCACCCTGGAACAAAAAAAAAAAAAAAAAAAAAAAAAAAACAACCCTAATTGTATGCTTCATGTGTGAGAACCACCTCATCCATTAAAAAGCAAACAGACATAAACTAAAAAAAGAAATTATGGAAAGACATCCTCCAGGTAACCAGTACAGAAAAAGAATTGACAGAGTGTAGATTCTTATTTCACACAAAGTAGACCTCAAGTCAAATCTGATCGTCAGAAGAGACAAAGAAGGTCACACTACTAAAGACAGTAGTTCACTAGGAAGAAATAATTTTAAATACACGTGTACAAAATTTGGTGCACCCAATCAATGAAACAGAAACTACTCGGTGTAAAAGGCCTAAAAAACGGATACACACCAATACATTCATAGTGGAAGACTCCAATACCACTCTTTCACAAATAGGTCATCCAATAAAATCTCAAAGCACTTTAAAGTTTACAAGTACAGATGGACATCTGTGTAGACACACACATGCAGTCTCACACAAACATGAGTAATGTGTTCATTTGTAAAACTATGGAAGAATCATGATAATCTCTGGAGAAAAATCTGATTAGTACTGTTGAAAAATGCTAAAAAAAGAAGCAAAAATTATATATAATTAGTAATCCACATAAGTAGATGCACATGTTGTGA